CCCCCCCCCCCCCATCTCACTACAGCTGGAAACTACTAGCTCTCCTGCTGAGCATTCGGAGAAATGTATTGGTTCCTCTGTGAGTCTCTTCATGGCCTACATTGTGTTACAGTTACTCTTGTATGCGGTTTGTCTCCGCATGAGGCTGTCAGCCTCTTAAGGACAGGACCCAAGGCTGGTCCCTCCTGGAGCCCTCCCAAGGCAGGAGCAAAGAGCCACCCAAGCCAAGGGGTTCAGTCACCCTCAAATCCGTGCTCAGTGGCCTGGTTTGTCAGTCAGGCCGGGCCACCCTGGCAGGAGCAGGTGATTAGGTTTCGCCTCTGGTTTGGCCCCCAGGAGGTGTGAGCCTTCCTCCATCAGTGTGGAGAAGGACCTCTGTCTCCAGCTCTTATCCAGGATGGCACGTTCTTGACCACTATCACACCGAGGCCGGGCAGACACAGGAGACCTAGCCGGTACTTCACATTCGCTCAGGGGCACTCACTCACCAGAACACCTCTCAGCTGGGCTGTCACGGCCCCCCTTTGCTAGAAACCAAGCTGCAGGGCTGCCTCCGGCCAATGGGCTTCTGTGACCAACTCACGACTCGTAAGCGTTTGTACCGAGACTGAAGTCAGGAAGCCTTGTCCTTTCCTGGAGGTGATGTCCCAGTCAAGCCCAGGCTCTCCCTCCCCATTATAAGAGGCAGTGACAATGTGCTGGAAAAACAAATCAGGTCCTAAGTGTGTAGCCTCGCGAAGGCTCCTTATCCTCCTGTTAACCATCATCCTCTGGTAAAGTGGGAATGATAACACCTGCTTCCCGCATTGTATGAGGAGAGTGCTTGGTGCCATGCCAAGCACACGGTAAGTGCTCAATAAATGAGGTTTGGGTTTTAATCAACTACTGAGTATGACTTCCTTTTCTTTCTCATCTTTTCTATCGTGAAGGGTGATATCTATCCTGAAAAGAGCATGCAACAAAAATGGTGTCATTTTTAGTGAATTGTTACAAAGGCAACAGCCAGGGAACCACCACCCAGCTTAAGACCTAGAACGTCGCGAGCCTCTGGAAGCCCCCCACAGGCCCTCATCTGATCCTGCCTCTTTTCCCTATCAGTAGTCAGAGTCAACCATCCAAAGAGTTGATCTGGGCAGGTAACTCTGTTGGTCAGAAAAGGAAGAAAGCCTCGTTGAGCCAAATTCTCATACTTTGTGTGAGTCATCTTTTCTAAGAGTCCTCATTTATTTAGTATGAAGAAGTGGAGGATGAAGGTCCCTGGCAGCATTATTATTAGAAGTGACAATAAAAACATTACAAGAATACTATATGTTATTTGTCAAGTTGCTGCTTGGTGCCAGGCATTGGCCAGGTGCATTAATCCTCATTATTAAACACCACAGCTGCTAAATAAGGTCAGGGCCAGTCTGCCTACCCTGGGTGAGGAGCCAGATATGAAAGGCAAAGTCACTTACCGGGGGGTGTCCAACTAGTAAGTGGCCCAGTCGGGATTCAACACTAGGTCCATCTGATTGCAAGCCTACACTTGCTCTACGTCAATACAACATTCTGACACTAATAACACATGAGCTCAGGATGTACCTTCCCTATGCAATTCCCTCCTTTGGCCTGACACCCTGTGTGTTGGGCCCAAGGGATGTGCTACCACTCTGAACTAAACAGAGCAGCCCCAAAGGAGAGTTCTTCTTCATATCACACCTTAGCCCCCCTCACTCCTTCTTGGCTCTTCCTATAATCCAAAGCATGCGTTATTGCTAATCATAATCATCGTAGCTCACCTTTTCTGAGCACTTACTAATGTCCCAGGAACTGGATTCAACACCCTGCAGACATAATGGTCAGTGGGACATTTCTTGTTGGCGTGGGATTTGGACAGTGGGTGGTAAGTGCCCACACATTTTTTTAAATTTTTTATGTTTATTTTTGAGAGAGAGAGAGTGCGTGCACGGGTGAGGGGCAGAGCGAGCAGGAGACACAGAATCCGAAGCAGGCTCCAGGCTCTGAGCTGTCAGCACAGAGCCCAGCGTGGGGCTCAAACTCACAAAGCATGAGATCATGATCTTAGCAGAAGTCAGATGCTTTACCAACTGAGCCACCCAGACACCCCAGTGCCCACACATTTTAAAGAGAGACATTCTACTGGATCTCTTCTGCAGGCACGTTGGTCTGAATAGGAGGTGGAGGGCAAAAAGACCAGCGTCTGCCCCTTCCCCAGAGGAATTCAGAGGCGGGGGTTGCCTAGAACAGCCTGCATAGCAGAGATTGGAGGGAGGCTACAGTAGGAGAGACCTGCACCCCAGAGTTTGGAGAGACAAGACTATGTTAAGTCCTGCTGTAGGTCATAGTCCTGTGTAAATCTATGCAACTTACCATGGGGGGGGGGGGCAGAGCTGAGGGGCAGCCCCCTGGCTCAGCAGGAGTATGCTTCCCAGTGGACAAACCACAGGAGGAGGTTCCCAGGAGGTAGAATGAAGACCGTCTAAAAACCCAGGACAGAGTCGCACAAGAGGGAGCTGATGGAGCCAGCCCTGGGAGCAGCTGCCACAAGGGCATCGGAAGGAACTACGATGGCTCTAACTAGGTAAAAATCCCTTTTCCCTTCTCTCTGACTCCCCTCCCTGCTGCTGACCTGGAGAAGGCAGAAACAGCCGGGCAAGTTGGGGGAGGCAGTGGAGGAAGGAAGCCACCAGGCTCACCACCTGCCCCCTGGCATGTCTGTGGACTCAGGCCCAAGCTGGGTGAAAAGAAAACATGTGGCCTGGATAAGAGATTGAAGCTCTCATATTGGACGGACATGCCCTTCACAAAAGGGTTTTCTTCCAATACCAAAAATAACCAGAAAAGCTCTGGAATCTGCTTGAGATTTTTATCAGAGGATGGGGTGGGGGGGGGTGGTGAGGAGGGCCAGGAGAACAAGTCGGAAGGCAGGTATAGGATAAAAATAATATTTCAAGGGGTGCCTGGGTGGCTCAGTTAAGCGTCAGATTCTTGGTTTTGGTTCAAGTCGAGATCTTTCAGTTTGTGAGTTCGAGCCCCGCATTGGGCTCTGCACTGGCAGCACAGAGCCTGCTGGGATTCTTTCTGCCTCTCCCTCTCTCTCTGCCCCTCCCCTGCTCGTGCTCGCTCACTTTCTCTCTCTCTCTCTCTCTCTCTCTCTCTCTCTCTCAATAAATAAGCAAAAACTCAAAAAAGATAAGATATTTCACAATTGCTATCTTCAAAAGTTCAACCCAATGGTAGCACAGTTACACGCATAGCTGTGTGTTCACTCCCCGAAATGGGGACCGAGGCTCAGGGACATCAAGCAATGTGCCCTTGATTATGCAGCAGAAGTGCAAGGCTGCAGATTCAAACCGGTCTACACAGTGTCCACTAACTGAGCTTAAGCCCTGAGCACCTCTGTCACCCCCAATAAGCACACACATTGATCTCAAAGCAACTTCTTTGAATGGAGTTTTCGCTGTCCCAGATCCCCTTCCCAGGCAACAGTGGAGCTAGAAAAGCAGACTGAGACTTCTCTGCCCACTCCTGCCATCCAAACCCCTCCCCCACCCCATGGCTCACTATTTTCTGAGACGCAAATGGAGCGCAGATGGGTTTTTGAAGAAGTTCTGCACGAATGCAAAACAGCTACAGACTCTTGCCATAAACCGCAGCAAGGCTGTGCAAAGCCCAGTCTCACTGTGTTTGTTTTGGGAAGCCTGGAATATGAGAAACCCCAGAAGCCCTCGTATGAGCCCTCCGTGTCGCCCGTCCTTCTGCCGCCTGTCGCTTGTAACAAGATGTCCTCGCTAATTGCAGCCTCTTGGATTCCCCCAGTTGAGCTCAGATTTCCCTGGGCAGGGTGATTGTTGGAAAGAAGATGGGAGGGAGGGATCTGCGACCTAGCACTTCTGTCAAGTGTAATGAGCGAGAGGAGAAGCCTGCTGTCTCTCCTTCCAGCACGTGGCAGGAGAGACTTGCCTTGTGTAAGAGCAGAAGGAAGGGATGACCTCACCAAGGCTGCTAGCATGCACAGCCGACCACAGACAGAGCTCCGTCAGAGTGCGGCGGGGGCGGACAGGGCAGCAAATGTCACCAAGGAAAATGCAGGATAAGTTTCCTAATGGGGATGATTTTTCTGTTGAGGAATCATTTGGTAAATGCTGTAGGAATGTCTGCGATAAAGGGGGTTTACATGCGAGGAATGTGCCTGCAGG